TGAAGTGATGTGGGCCAGCCCCTCACATTTTTCAAGACGGTCCCACGGGCCGGATCCAGACCACATTATGCGCTGGATCCGGCCCACGGGCCTTGTGTTTAGACACCCGTGAGCTAAATGATGAAGAAAGAGACCGTTAGTGCCTCTCTCGGCCTCTCAACTCGGTCCGATGTCCAGCTTCGGCCCTCAGTTGGACAAAGGCAACCTTCTTCTCACCCCCTTCTCTTTCCAACCTCTGCTTCTTCTCCCACCAGACGACCTCATGAAGAAGCCCGAGGTGAAAGACATCAAATTCTTCTTCCTGGTGGGCGGATTTGCCGGGTCGGCCATTTTGCAGCACGCCGTCCAATCTGCCTTCAGCAGCTCCTGCCGAGTCATCATCCCTCAAGATGTGGGGCTGACCATCCTCAAAGGGGCTGTGCTCTTTGGCCTGGACCCCACCATCGTCCGGGTGAGGCGTTCGCCCTTGACCTACGGCGTCGGGGTCCTGAACAAGTTCGTGGAAGGGAAACACCCCAAGGAGAAGTTGCTGGTTAAGGAAGGGAAGAACTGGTGCACCGACATCTTCGAGAAGTTTGTCTCGGTGGACCAGTCGGTGGCCTTGGGCGAAGTGGTGCAGAGGAGCTACTGCCCAGCCCGGGTGGGTCAACGCAAGATCATCATCAACATCTACTGTTGCGCCACGGATGATGCGGTCTACATCACCGATCCGGGGGTGAGGAAGTGCGGCACCATCAGCCTGGAATTGGAGGAACTGGGCGAGCCCGGCTCGCCCAAGAAAAGCCGGCGGGAGATCAGGGCCAGCATGCAGTTTGGCGATACGGAGATCAAGGTGGCCGCCATGGACGTGTGGACCTCCAAGACCGTGCGGGCGTCCATCGACTTCCTCTCCAACTGAGGTCCAGAAGTGGAGAGGACTCTGGACTGGCAGAAGATCAGAAGTTGGGAGACACCGTTCCTCAGTGTTGCGAGCCGCCGTTTGGTGACTCAAGATTTATGGATTCAGCCCAATCCGTTGGCCAATTTTTGGGGTGGGTGGGTGGATTTAGGTTACGAACCTGCCAAAAACAGCAAGGTGGAACTTCTCATGGCCAACGGGCTGGTGGGGTGGGATAACTGTTGGGATGCACTGGGTCAAAAGTGGGGAAGCGCAGGCAATTGTGGCCTTGGAAGGGTAACTTCTAAAGCTCTTGAGATCTGAGAACATCTCCCGTTTCTTCAATGGTCATCTTGGACCAGAGGTCTTTGGCTTCCCAAAAAAACCAGTTATGGGTTCTGGAGTCCTAACTTGTCTATAAAAATGGATATTTGGATGTTGTGATTCATTCGGCCTTCGAACGCTTGAGGACATCAATAACCAGAAGGGCCTCAAAAAAATTACCCATCATGAAAAATGAGGCAAAGACTCACGGGGCAAGTCTGGTTCCATAACGTACTACAGGTAATCCTTGGCGTACAACTGTTCACTTAATGACCGTTCAAAGGTACAACGGCGCTGAAAAAAGGGACTTGCGACCATTTTTCGCACTTACGACCATTGTAGCATCCCCATTGTCACATGATCCAAATTCAGACGCTTGGAAACTGGTTCATAGTTATGACGGTCGCAGTGTCCCTGGGGGGGGGGGGTTTCACATGATCCCCTTTTGCGACCTGAGGCACAGTCAACGGGGAAGCCGGATTCACTTAACAACCGTTGTGATAACCACCACGGAAG